GCAAAATGCACATTTATATATTTAACTTAAACCTTGACATTTGCCTGACTCTGGTAAATCGAAACCTAAACTAAATTAATGAGCAACAAAACAGACATTCTCAAGTGTCCTAAAAGGTCCTGCAATTTTCCTGTTCAATTTTCAGCTGTGCAAATATGCCTTCATTAGCGCCTCCCACACTCACTTCCACTCGTTCACATTCCCCAAAAAAGTATGCAACACTCGAATGAAAATGAAAATGATAAAATGGGGAAAATGGTAAAACTCCTGTTCGCGAATACAATATGCAAACAAAGGCACGTGCTGGCATGCAAAAGCGGCCCGTTTCTTAGCCCTCAGTGTAACCACTTTTCCGACGCAGTTTTCCCCCGAGGGAAAAAACACTCCAGCAGCATCCATCCTACTCAGTTTTCCGTGCAAAAAAACTTTTTCTCCAAAACTCGCTTAGAGGAAACGACTGTCAGATGACCAGTAAACTTAGAGAGAGAGAGCAAAATGGGGCTTTTAACTCTTCTCAAATGGGGTCAAAATAGACAGCTTGAAGGGGTTAAAAGCCTAAACTTGAACAGTTTAATTAACAATTTCTTGGGTCGTGATTGATTGACAGTAACGGAAAATGATTTTCTAGGCGTTTCCCTTGAAGGTACAAAGACTATTTAAAGCTTAATTTAATAATTGTAAGCAATAAGGATTTGTGTAAATTTAAAAGCAATTAAAATACTTATTTTACTATAAACAAAGAAAGATAAAAAACCCAATAACAATCCTTGGGGGAATACCCTTTTTTAAAGTTTTTTGTTTTGTTTTGTGAGTTTTTTTTTTTTGCCAGCTGATAAAAAATGCGGGCTGTGTCTGCGTTTCGACCCCGAATTCCCTGATGGCTTAAAGATTGTTCGCCAAATTGGAGTATAATTTATATAGACATTAGCTTGGCGGTGAAAATTTTCAATTCATTGGTTGGAATACAACTTTGACATGGCATATAAATGAGGCACACCCCTCAGGACAACGGCCAAAGCTTCAGGATTTCTGCTTGAAATGTATACATTTTCTTGTGTTATTTTGTTATTTATTTTTTTATATGTTTTTGCTGTGCCTGTGACTGTGGCAAACAGCAACAATAATAAACATTTCTTCTCGGACCATTTGTCTGTGTGTTTTTAATAATAAATAAACTGTAAACATAAGTCACGCATACACAGAGAGACCTAAAGTTGAGCCTTGAGCAGAGAGAGACACTGAGAGAAGAAACAAGGGAGGGAAGGTCCTTAAAAAAAGTATGAAATTATTAATATAACTGCTACTTTTAGGTATATAATTTTAACAGATTTCTTTATACAATTTTTTTCCAAGTTTATAATATAGATAAGAACTATTTAACATTTCATTTAATAAGTTATAATCATTTCCTGCCTTTTAAGAATTATTTTTCACTAATAAACTATATTTCCCTTTCTGTCTTTTACTTATAATATCTCTTGCTTTTGTTTCTCTATCTTAATCATATATTTTGCCATATTCCTTCCACCTTTTCTAACTAATATTTAACTATTTAAAAATGTAAACATTAATATATATACTGTATACTTTAAAAACCTTATATTTTATCAGAACTATTAAAAGTAATATATATCTGAGACTTCCTTTTAATTTCACTTTTAACTTACAAGACTTTTGCATTTTATTTTCTCACCCTAAATGTTTCAAATGTCAGGAATGTAAGCCACGCATAAATCATACAATTTAATGTTGTATTTTTTTTACTGTGCAGGGATTTATGCCTCTGTGGGGGAGAGGTTAAGAGGTCAGGGGAGTTGTGGCCAAAGCTATGCAAATGTTGCGGCCTGCCTCTGAATCTGTCTGGATTTTAAAAGCACACAAAATTCCTCTACTACAAAAACTTCCCTTCCCCTTCTGTCTCTCTTCATTTATTTTTTTGATAATTCCTAAGGGAATTTTTGATTTGGGGAATATTAATGTTATGACTAAAATGGGCAACTGATATATAAGAGTGAGAGGAAGTGAGAGCCGAGTTTGGCTTAAGATTTATTAGATTTTATTAAGTGGCTTTAAAAGGAAACATAAATAACTTAAAATTCTTAAGAAGATTTTTCATTTATAAAAATTTTAGTAGTTAAAAAACAAGTCAAGAAGACTTTTGATGAGTTTTTTAATATTTTAGAAGGTCTTAACATATTTTTTAAGACTTTGGAGTTAATTTTTCAAGTTTACGGATAATTAAAAGTTTAAAAACCTCATAACTAAGCCAAAAAAGCATTCATTTTAATTCTGTAAGTTGTCCTATGTTAGTTTTTGGAAGGTTAATAAATCTGCATACTCAATTTAAAATTTAAAAAATTAAAATTTTTATCAATTTTTTTTTTTAATTTTAATGAAATAGCCCCTTAAAAATAGTTGAAAAAATTTCAAATTTTTTTTTTCGATCTGATATAGCTAGATCGACTCGGCTGTTGATGCTGATCAAGAATATATATGATTTATAGGGTCGGAAATGATTCCTTCACTACTTTTTTAGTTTCTGACTGAAATTAGAATACCTTTACAAACGTATAGAAATAAAATCGAGGAATTATTTTTGAAGCCTTTCTAAATTCTTTCTTCATTCTCTATCAATTAAATAACTTGCTTTTAAATTAAAATCCGTAAGAATATAATTGTGGCTGTAAATGTACAAAATAGATATAAATTTATAAAGGCCTGGCTAAGACAAGGCCATAATTTTCCACTCAATTGTTGACATTCAGATATTTTCCTTTTTGTGCCTTTCATTTATTACCCACTCACGCAAAACCCTTAACCCACTTGAGCTCGCCACCGATAATTTCCACAAAATATAACAGAAAAATGCCAAGCAAAAATGGAAATAAAAAAGGAATATATATATATAGAAAGCCACAACTGTCAACTGGTTAAAGTAAAACGCTTCAGTAATTTTCGTGTTTAACCATTAGCGCGTATAATATTTCATACAGATTTATATGGATAATAATGCCTCACACTCTTGGCATTATTTGCATTCCCTGCTTCTGTGCTCCTTATTTGGCTTGCAATTAAATTTAAATACATTTAATGGACATAATTCCAATAATTGTTTAACTTTCTCTCTCTTTCAGTCCCCTCTCATCAAGCTGTTTCCTTTAATTTTCATGGGCCGCCAGCTTCAATTACCTCACGCCTCCATAGTATTTTCCACCCTGGTTATCCTTCTTTCCTTTTTTCGGGGGTTCATTAAAATTATTCTCCTTTATATATATATATACATTTATATATATATATATTTTTTTTTTATATATTTTTTAATTTTTTCATGCCACGCTGTGCCTGCTGTCGTTGGCAGAAAACGATCATGAGGCAGGGGTAACGGGGGAAAAACAACAAGAACAAAAAAATTAAAAACATTTAAATTTAATTATACGACTATGACAAACAATTTTGGCATTTTGACAACGTTTTTTCGGGGAGGAAAGCATTTTCCTTGTGACATTCCGCCTCCGGATAAATTTGCAACAACAAGTCAACAATTAGCAGCGAGTTCAATGTGCCATCAGAGAGTCCTGGACATGGACAAGGATACATACATATATATATATATATACAAGGAGGGGGTCAGGGGTTAGCACCACTCGAGCGTACAAATTTTCAGAGCGCCAAAAGGGTTCTCAACTCGGCGAAAGTTTAGTGAAAATTTCAAGGGAAAATATTCACAGTAAATACTGTATACAGAATACTATATACTAGAATGTTTTTATACCATTCTTTATAACAATTTATAGAAACAAAAATTGTGTTTTGCGAGGGTGTAGAAATTAAAATAAAACCAAAACTTATAGACTGGTTATCTGAATGTCTGCATTGCCATAAATTACTCAGTGAGCAAGCACACAAATTGTTTTAATTTATGAAGATAGTATATAGTATTAGTATATTTTATATGTACAATATATGTATATATAAACAGGTGTTAAAAAATATTACTAATTAAGAGAAGGTGAAACAGTGGTCACTGAATATATTAGACAAGAAATGAAGCTAACTTGCAGTTACTCTTTAAATCATGGTTCTGAATATGAAATCGATCATAACTTAGCTCAAGATTATTTAGTTTTAACTTTGGAAAACTTTTCTGTGTGTTGTTATTTATTAAGATGCCAGCATATGGGGCCTTAATATTATAAAACAACAACATTTTATGAATTTTTAACAATTTTAAAACTTACAAGTCTTGGTTTTGTATCCTGGTTACTCAGATGCATTGCATTGGTCAGGCAACTTTTTTCACAATCACTACCACTTTAGATGTTTACACTAGGTACCCCTAGGACAGACTGAGGCGCGCGCGCCTTTAGTGCCTCTATTTATAGTCCCCGAGTGAAGAGAACAGAGAGTGAGAGAGTGAGAGCGATCATACCGAAAATGATAGAGGGGGAGAGAGAGAGGGAGACAGAGAGGGAGAGTAAGCGAGTACGAGGGAGGGGAGAGATAGATAGAGGCAGCGATAGAGTAACTGAGACACAGTCCTATGGCAGCTATATAATATAGTCGTTCGATTTTAGTGAAATTAAAACCGAGCTTACAAAATAATACTATATTAAATGAAACTGGAAAAGTTATACATTTTTGTGTACCAATAATGATTATGATTATGATTACTATCGTTCTTATTGCGGATATATGATATAGTCGTTCGATCCGGGCCGTTTCAAATTACTAGTATACACTATAATAATATAATAATGAAATTATATAAAATATTAACTTCAAAGCTTCATTCACCTAATTTCAAAACTGAGAGACAGACGAACGGGCGGAAATGGATAGACAGATGTTGACAATGATCAAAAATATATATATACTTTATAGGTATTATAAAATTATAATTTCCTGCAAGGGTATAAAAATCAGCAATTGTACAATATAGATTCTCAGAAGCTACCTTTCATTTCTCCTTTACTAACTCTCTCATAGAAGTTAACACTTACCCAAAGAGATCGGTGTCACTGCCTGGAAAACTAATCCTCGGCGATAGCGGCGATCGTCCTTGAGCCCTTCGCAGCATCTCGTGGAGTCCTGGCGGTGCATGTATAGGACTTAGGATCGTGATCTTTCGATTTCCCGGTGGCGCCAAGAAGCCACCACTAAGTGTCAACTGTGTGCGCATGCCCGCCGACGAGCTCTTCATTTCGATGGTCTCCGCCGATTTGGAGATCAAAATAGAGGAGGATTGCTGCAGACCCAGTTTGCTCATGGATAGATTCATGGAGCCACCGGTGGAGCTGCTATCCTGCAAACTACCAGCCTCAACGGCAGCATCATCGATCTGTGTGGAGGCACTCCTTATGCACTTCTCTGGCCGTGATGATCCTGGCACTCCAGCTGCTGCCTCCGAATGAGCCGAGGTGGAGCGCACAAACTGCCGGACATGCTTTTGATGGGCTGTGAGGAAACCATGAGCACCCTCCGGTTGTTGTAGGAAACTCTGGAAACGGGATTTCCCGCCAGGAGCTGCTGCTGCTGCTGCCGTTGATGTGGAGGAGGTGGAGCCACCGGAGTTGTTATTATTACCCACTGTTCCCGGTGCTGTGGAGCCACTGGCCATATATCGTGTGCTGCTGCTGCTGGTACTGGTGCTAGTGCTGGTCCTTTGCTCGCTGCTGCTGGTTATTATCGAGGTGGAGCTCTGCGCCTTGAGCTGTTGGGCCAAGGCAGCCGAGGCACTGGCCAGCAGCTGCTGATTGCCACCACTGATGGTCACCTCTCCTCCGAGTATGGAGCTCGATTGAAGACTCTGACTCCTGGTGGAGCTGGAGATGATCTTCTGTGACTGTTGAATCTGTTGGGTTTGCTTGATCTGCTGTTGGGTTATCTGTTGCTGCTGCTGCTGCTGGATTTGCTGATGTTGCTGATGTTGCATTTGTTGCTGCTGCATCTGTTGCATGGCAGAGAGACCGCTGGAACTGCTGCTGGTCATTGAATAGGATCTGGTGGCCACCTTGGTGGTACTGGAGCTGGCAAACTTTTGACTTTGCATCATCTGTGTTTCGGGGGAACCCAGCTCCAGCTGGAGTTCACCCAGGGAGCCAAACTCATCGGCATCCACTTCGCTGGGTGTGGTTATTATGTACTGTGGCGGTGCTGCCTGGGGTGCTCCTCCTCCTGCTCCTCCTCCAGCTCCTGTTCCTGTTCCACCATTGCTCTCACTGGACATGGTTGTGTGTTTCGTTTGCTTTCGCTTTTCTTTTTTATTGCGCTACGTTTCTGGGAAACAGAATTTATGCTTTTAATTTTCTTTGCAAGAGTGTGTGACACACACACGCTTGCCCTCTTGCCTCAATGCATTGCATACGTTTTTTTGGGGGGGTCAAAGGATGCGATTAGTTTTTGGCGCCTTAATTGCGCTTTGGATTAAGAGGAATCTCTGCAGGGGTATGTGGGGAAAATTCAAAGGGGAAAGTCACCGAAGGGAAATGTATTAAATAAAAAGTTAACAAGTAGAGAAACAACCTTTTCCTAAACCAATTTCATTTTGAAACATTTTTATTCGTAAAACCAAAGCCAAGAAGTGAAAAAATACGATTTGGTATAAAAGAAATTGTTTTAAATTCCTTTTTAAAAATATTTCTAAAGTGCCTTGAATAAAATAACCAACAAGTGAAGGATTTACTAGAATAACTATGTTTTATTCAATAAATAAATCACCATCACTAACTCCTACAGACATTGTGTTATATTTTTTTTAAACTCCACAAATATAAATTAAAATCTAAAAATCGAAGGATTTGCTAACATAAATATACAATTTTCCGTAAATAAATCAACACCATAAACTTCTAAATTAATTTTCTGTGTTATATTTCGCTAAAATAACCCCCATAAGCCGTAATTAAAACTATTAAAATGCCAACTAAAATAGCTTGCCATATTTAATATGCGACAGAAATGTGAGCTTAAAAGGCTTGAGGACTTAAGCGAATTAAATGACATTTAAAATACGCTGATTTCCGCATTTTTAACACATACTACAAATATATACACACACATATCGCATGATTTCGGGGGAAACCTCATTAATAAACTTCGTGGCACATTTTCCACAAAACAACAAAAAAAAAGAGAAAATGGCAAAAACTTTGCTTCGAACTCGAACGCAACATGTTCACCCCACCGCGTTATCCTTTTCATACAGGATGCCGCTTTAGCTTTTCCTTTTCCCACATTTTCCCAGCCCTCTCTTGCCAGAGCCTTTGGCGAAATTTTCTTGTTTTTTCGGTTTTTGTGTGTGGGAAAAATGTTGTTTTTCCCTACACTTTCTTTTTTTTTTGTGTTCTTTTTGGAGCTTGGCTTTCTGTTTTCTTTTTTTTTGTTTTGTGTTGCGGGTGTGCCTTAACAAGCTGCATAATTAACCTGTGAACCGTGACCGTGACTCCATGCCCCCTTTTCTATTTTCCGGCTGCCATTTTTCCTACCATTCAGCGGAAAGCTGTTCCCTGCACTTTACAGCAGCTAATTGACAGAATTACACATTGAAAAATAATTCACTTGAGCTTTTTAAAGACTTTAATTTACAAATGATTTTTTATAATTTAAATAAATATAAATATTTTGATAAAAAATTTAATTTTTCAATAATAAAATGTCTAAAATGGCAACTTGATGGTTATTTTTCTCTGCAGTGTAGTTCATTAAATGAACTGACTTTAAGTGCAATCATGACTTTGATTTCCTTTTCCGTTTCTGTTCCTATTCCGTTTCACTTCCATTCGTTCCTGGCACTGCCAGCTAATTGATTTTGATTAAAGTGCAACAAAAAACAGGTAAAAAAAAGTGCAATAAAAAGTGAAAGAAAGAAAAAATAGAAGCTGGTATTTCACAAACAGGAAAAGGATGTTGTCCCCTGGAGATTTCAGCGAATGTCCATTGGCATTTTCCCCCGCACAGAAGATTTTCCTTTATGCCAAGGAAATCAATAAGCAATCACATTGAGTGTGATTTCACTGCTATTAATATATATTTTTTTCGAAAGAGAGAGATCGAGAGAGCGAGGGAAATGCAGTCAAAGGAATAGCCGAAAAATCTTTAGCTCACTTTTTGAATAAGTAAATAAGATCACAAAGAGATTTAAATAAATACAAATTAAATATTTATTTGTCAAAAACTTATACAGAAGCTGCTAATGTTTATGGTAAATCTACCACTTAAAAGCTTTCCCTATTTAATTTCAATTAATTAACTTGGCTTTGTCTTCGAATTTCCACTTAATGCCGACTTCAAATTTCCTGATTTTCCTTCTGAACTTTTCCTCTCTTACTGTAACTGATTTTCCTGTTAACTTTACTTTCCGTTTTGACCACAAAAGTCTCCGTTTTTGGGCAAGTCATTGCTTGGTAGTTACCAAAAAAAAAAAAATTGTCGGACAATTGAAGGTCGACCCCACACGCTTAGTTGCAATGACTGTCACATGGCATGTGGCGACATGGCAACGGCAACAATAGTCCCGCATCTTGTGCAACAGTCACGCACACAACGACAAATGGCCTGCAGGACTCCCACACACACACATACATACAGGTATGCACACACACACACACAGAGAAAGAGAGAGCAGAATAGATGTTACTGCAATTTTATGCAAATGAATACCTCCTTCGCTTGCTTAGTTGCCTGAGAAACGGCATGACAATGACGACAATGCCAACCAGTTTGAGCACCAAAAGGTTCGACTACGAATTTACACTGCACCAAAAACTATGGTAATTGTTATAAGAAAAAATCAGAGTAAAAATGTACAACTAGGTAAAATGCTTAAATATTTTTTGAAACTATTTGTTCTGCAAAATTAAAATATGAAATGAAAGCAATGAGTGTTGAACTATGTCTTAAACTGTTTTTTGAAGGGTTTCGAATTAAAATATGCACTGCAAGACAAAAATAAGACCTTATTTAAAGGTAAATTTTAGTTAATTGATAGAGCCAAGTAACGAGCTTAAATATATATTTATAACTTTTACAGGGTGCTCTAATTTCAGTCAGAAGCTTAAAAACCAGTGAAGAAATCATTTCCCACCCTATAAATCATATATATTCTTGATCAGCATCAACAGCCGAATCGATCTAGCCATGTTTGGTAAAAATGTAAATATTTTGAAATTTTTCAAATTTTTTTCAAGGGGTTTCATCGTTAAAATTGCCAAAAAATGTATCAAAAATTTTAGTTTTTTAATTTTTCAAATAAAGGGTGCTGATTTGTTAACCTATTAAAAACTAGCATACAACCGTTTTCCGAATTGAAATTAATGCTTTTTTGGCTTAGTTATGAGATTTTTAAGCTTTAATTGGGGATAAAAATTGTCTTTGAAATATATCAATAAATATAGATTCTTTAATTCAATTACAAATTAAATTTCTAAAATATTTTTGAATCATGTGGTTATTTTTTGAGAGTGTAGAAATTGGAGAGGGGTCTGAAGGATAAGGATTTTGCCTTAGGCAATATGCGTAACTCCTTGCTACTTATCTTTATCTCTTTCTCTTACTGACTATCTCTCTCTCTCTCTCACTATCTGTCTCGTTGGAACTCTTTCTAACTCACTCTTTGCCGCCTGTTGACACTTTCCCCTGTGGCATTTCGCAAAAAGGAGGCGTGTCTGTCTAAGTAATTGCATTTTAAAGGGTACAAAATAAGCTGTAACTGTGATTCGATCAGTTCAATTGCACCACAGATATATAGAAATATACATATAAATATGTATATGCACTCTATATAAACCAATATATACATATGTATATATGGCTACGATTACTGCCATTTTGCAATCGATATGCCAGATTGCACATTACCTAGAATGCTTCGGGGAAATCATTCATTTGTGGCGTTATTTATTACACTTTCTAGGGTGAGTGAGTGCATATTTGATTTGATTTTTTTTGTATTTTCCCGGCCAATGCAACAAAAATAACAATGGACGGAAAATCCAAACAATTGGCCAGCGTATAACAACAACAACAAGAACAAAACCAATTTGCATTTACAGCAAACAAGGCGAAAGCAATAAGCTTCATGTGTTGATTGCCACGCCTCCTCCTCCCCCACCAAAACCCTCATGTGTGCTGGCATAGTTAACAATGGCTTTTCCTTTACTTTTCCTTGGCTTTTCCGCGCTCAAACCCAGACGCACACACATACATTCTCATGTCAACATCATTAGCCATATATCAACTTCACTTTCAATGCTTGCCCAATGAATTTCTTAACGTTTAAGGGGAAGAAAGAAAAAAAAAAACGAGAGCAAGAAATACAGGAAAATGTAACACACAACAAAAAAAGAACGAAAGTAGCATAAAAAACAGACCAACACAAAGGCTTTTCCAGCTCGAAGGAGTTGCAAGAAAAATCAAAGAGAACGGAAAATGGATGCCCCCGTAATCAGATCTTAAAGAGCAAAAGACATTCTTATAGATATAAATAAATGATTGCCCTAAAGGTTAAATATATAATTTATAAATATTAATATTTTCCTCTTCAAACTTTTAATGATTTCTGACGCATTAATCGATTGCCTTTTTTTTAAATTAGACCTGAAAGCGGTTTGAATTCCCTTTCTCCTGCCTGTCGCTCATAAATACAGACTTCGTAATCAATTTTAAGCGTTGGCCCATTAGATTAATTCGATTTCAATTCGATTCGATTCGATTTGATTCGATTGGATTCGATTTGATCATAATAACCGTTCGGTATCAATTACGCCATTGGGAAATTGTTCAATTAGATTGCATTATTGACGACGTTAATTGAGTTGGACAAGTAACGTTTCAGACTTTTTGCCATTTTACAATCTTTTTTTCCACCCCCCCTCTCTCTCTCTCTCTCTCTCCGCCCCAATAAGTAGGCAATGGTTTTTGCGAAAAGGTCAACGGGGCGGATGGGTAATTTTTGTTTTGTCACCACATTTTTAGTTTACAGATTATAATGCACTTTCCTGTGTTGACACTGCCCATCAAAGTCAATTTGGAGTGGTTTTATTTTTAATGCATGTCAGCTAATGCCGACCTTGACCGTCAGGAATATATTTACAGGTAGTGGTAGAGGTGTGTTTGTGGGTGGAAAATCATTTGGTAAATATCAGACAGCGCAACCTTTGCTTTCTTTTTTTTGGCAAATGTAAGAAGCTGAAGGTTAATTTCTAGACCTTTTTTTCCGTTTGCATAATCTCAGTAGATTATTTTAGCTTTTGGTTTGCTTTATTAATTATGAATA